GCAGCCCTTTGGGAAGAAGTCTGGCAGTTTCTCAGAAGTTAAACAGAAAGTTACCGTATGGCCTATCAATTTCACTTGTATGTATGTATCCAAGAGAGTTTTTAAATACATCCCCACAAAAACTAGTACCCAAATGTTCATAGCAGCATTATTCATAGTATCCAAAAACTGGAAAACTGAAAATGACTCAAATGCCCATCAACCGATGAGCTGATAAGTGAAATCTGGTATACTGTACAACGGAATATTATTCAGCCGTAAGAAGGAATGAAGGGCTGCTCTATGCTAAGACGTGAGTGATTTGGGGAAACATTACACTAAGTGAAACAAGCCAGTCACAGAAGGTCATGTATTAGATGATTACATTGATATGAAATATTCAGAATGGGCAACTCCATAAAGACAGAGTCAACTAGTAGTTACCATGAGAGGAAGGAAGAACAGGGTGTGATTGTGGGTGTGGGGTTTCTTTTTGGGGTGACAAAAATGTTTTGGAATTAGTGGTGATTGTTGTACAACCTTGGGAATATACTAAAACCACTGAATTGTCCACTTTAAATGGGTGAATTTATAGTATGTACCTCAACTGAAATTTTTGGGAAAAAAGTCATTGCCTTCCTTGGATATTTTCAATAACCATTACTTCAGGTTTATTTTATTGAGCGTTTTTGCATATTCATTTATATGAGATCTGCCCATAATCTTCTTTTATATTGCTGTCTTTGCCCTATGTCATGCCTCTACCCCAAGACTGAGGAAGATAGTCTTCCTTCCTTTCCTATGTTCTGGAACAGTTTATATAAAATAGCAATTATCTGTTCCTTGAGCATTTGGTAAAACTTGCCATTTGAGCCTGACGCCTTTGGTAGGGGGTCCATGGCTGGGACATGTACTTGTTGATTGTCACTTCAATCTCTTTAATTATTACTGGTGGATTAATATTTTATATTTTCTCTTGAGTTCACTAATTCATATTCTAAAAAATTGCCATTTCATCTAACCCTTAAATTTTCTGGCATATGTTTGTTCATCATATGATCTGATTTTTTAATATTTTATATATATGTAATTATGAGCCCTTCGATTCTTAATGTCATTGATGGCTTCTTTTTTTCTCTTCATAACTCTTGCAAGAGGTTTGTCTCCCTTTAGTAGACTTTCAACCATGTTTTCCTTGTGATACTAGCACTTAAGACAATTAAATTACCTGTAAATATTACTTTGACTGCAAAAAGCTTTGAGATGTGATGTTTTTGTTGTTTAACTCTAAATCTTTGAAAATGCATAGTTCTGTTCCGTCTTGGATATTAGGATTATGGAGGATTTTTTAAAGCTATCTTAAAAATAACTTCTAAATTAGTTGTCCTATGGTCAGAGAATATGGTCTGTAGTATATCAATCCCATGCCTTTTACTGAGATTTCTTTATGGCCTAATAATTGGTCAATGTTTGTAAATGTTCTATATGTACTTGAAAAGGATGTATAGTATCCAATAATCAAAATTCAATATATATATATATACTATATGTATATAGAATATATTCAATATATATAGTAGATAATATTATTCAAAGTCTCATCCTTAATTTTTTGTCCAGTTGATAGATATATTGATGTATCCATTTTATAAGTACCATGCACTAACCAATTGTGCCACTGGAGTTCTGTATTCATTTAAAACTTAAAAATTTTTTTCAGCTTAGGGTAGAAGGAGGGGGTCTATACTGTATTCTTTAGATAATGTAAAAATTTGTTGCTTTCATGGTGTTGATCTTTTATGATAAAGTCATGGGATAAAATATTCATATACAAGACCTGCCAGTCTCCTCTCCTCAATTCCGTGACTGCTCACGTGAACACACAGATCGCCTGGCCTCAGACTGAATCAGGCCGCCTGGACTCCCATCCTGGCTGGTCCCGGGGTGTCTGACTTGCTGGGGCCAGAGGGTACTTCTCAGCAGAGAGGGAACCCATTCGGCCACCCACCTAAGGGGTGTTCTCTAATATGATTTGTCAGTATTAAACCTAATGTTGAGACTTCCATCTTTCTGACTTCTGTGACGACTTTGGGGAGGAACTTGGAAGAGAAGTTCCACACACTTATAAGAAGTTGGAAGTGCCTGGTGCTTTTAATAAGCAAAGTCATAAAATGACCAAATGCTGGGAGGTGAACCTGTATAACGGCCTGCTCTGTATGTCTGCTCCGGCCCTTCAAGGACGCCAGTCTCTCTGCCTGGGGGCGCCGCCCTGCCTGACTCCCCACTCTGGCCCCCTCTCTACTCTGCACCTTCATGGGACCCGGATTTGGGCCTTTACTCTTGGAGATCACACACTCTTTCCAACACATACAGAACATGTCTAAATAGTTGACCAAATATTAGGTTATAAAGAAATCTAAGTAAATGGCGTGGAATTGATGTAACACAGACCATATTCTCTGCCCATAATGTAATTGAAGTTTGTTTAAAAAAGAAAAAGATGGCTGACAGAACCCCGTCCTAATTGGTTAGCGGAGTAGCAGAGACCCCCCTCTAGTCCCAGGTGTGAGCGCTGGGCCTATGGAATAAATGGGCACCAGGCACATGAGCCGGGGAGGTGTGCGCGTGCATGGATTTTTAATTTTATGCCCACAGGGCGTCCCCAGGAAAAAAGTGAATAGTCCAAGGAGAGGAAAGATTTGAAAGCCTGTGGACCACCTGACCAGAGAAGGAGAAAGGGGAGATGGGCTTCTCGGGGGGGCCGGGGGGTACGTGAGTTTTAGGGAGGCCGAGGGGTCCCTAGAAGAACCTAGAAAATGGGAGGAACGCCAGTTTGTGGCGCCTGTCTGGGGTGGTGTCGCCCCCCCTCTTTTCCACTAGTCGCGTCTAATCCCCGCTGGACGGACAGAAGCCCGTCTTCCTGGCCGAGGGGACTCCTGGGAGGGACGGGCGACCCTCGGGCCCCTTCTGGAGGGTCTGTCCGTAGGCAGATGGGGGTTCAGCCTCTCCCTGCGGGTACTGTTTTCAAGTGCTTCCAGCTCAAATCATGATTATGTCAAGGCAGCATATTTTGGGGTGGCAGGTCCTGGATTCCTTCACTAACAATATACAAGATGGAATCTAAATGGAAATTATACTTTTGCATCTACTTTCTTGTTATTGTTGTGAGCCTCTGAGTCTCCGGACAGCCCGGGATAGATGCTGTGTTTCCCACGCTCCTGCCGGAGTCATTGGTTTGGAGGATCTGCTATTTCCTGGTGCCGAGAGCTGCCTCCCCCGAGGTCCGGGTGTCACCCCAGCATTCCCCTGCCTCCCCGCCAAGCCTCCCGCCTGTGGCTCTGGCACTTCAGCCCACGCAGGGCTGGCAACTTCCCCATGTTAAGACTGGCTAATTCCATCTGAGGTGCCGCTTTATTTGGAATTTTCATAAACTTGTTTTGTTCATAGCTTCCTACTCACCACGTATTCCGTCCTCCTCCACAGCGCAAATGGAAATGAAGCTTTTTATGAAGTGTCCCTCTTTTTACACTGGAAAATTGGCTGCAGTGTGGCTCAGAAGTGAGTCGGAAAGTCTGTCAGGCTGACAACATGACCCTGCCGAAGATGAGGGACATTTACAAGTTTGTTTATAAAAAAGTGACAGAGCCGTAGCTGTGTTTACTCGGCTCCACATTGGAATTCTGACCATCTAACAGGTACGAGCTCATCACAGAGGGTTCTCACTGGTCCTTCACGCCAGAAATACCACTCAGGTGGGAAGGCCTGGAGTGCAAGAAGTCGGCGTCCTGGGGAGCAGGTGGATTTGAATTCCATCATGATTTGGTTTCCTTATTCTCCCCTTAACACTTTACTTCCAAAGCAAATGTTCACCAGCATTGTCACTTCCAGAAAGATCCAGTGTCCGAAAGTGATGGTGTTCATGGAGTGTAGAGCCAGCTGACACAGTAGGGCGGATCTGACCAATACAGGTCACAGAACGATGAAGACAGAGAAAGGATGCCATCAAAGTTGGCAAGAGTATAGCATGGACAGAGGGAACACCCTCTCCTCCCTTAGAATTGGTTTCTCGGAGCAAGGACATCCGGACAAACAAATAAGGGAGCTACCTCAGCTCAAGACGATCTCACTCCTCCACAGCGTGCCAAGCACTATCCTGAGTCCTGAGGATATGCTGGTGAACAAGATTTGCTCTCTAAGTTCAAGGTGTTCCCTGTCTACCCAGGTAGATGAGCAGGTAAATCGAGACCTGCTTCACAGGGCTGAATATCTGAGCCAGGGATGGGGCCTGAAGAGATGCCCCGGGGGGCAGCTGAGCAGAACTGGGAGATGAGCCCCAGCGTGCCCCACTCCACAGAGGGGAGAGGAGCCTCCTATAAAGGTCAAAAAACACGATTATGGACCTTGGGGGAAAGGGGCTTCTCACACCGTGTGTGGTGGTGCCACCATTTCAGATGTGTACACTTTACAAGATTGTAACGCCACTTTCTGTCTGGAGATCAAATCTACCAGAGCAGCTCTCAAGACTCTACGGCAGACTCAAGGCTCCCCAAGGAGAGCAGCCCTGGCATTTTAGGAGGGACCTTAGGACAGCCCCGCACGTCGAGGGGTGGCATGCTCTGCTGAGCCCCCCACTCCTGCTTTATTCACAAAGTGATCAGAAACTGTCAGCGTGGAGGAAAGCGAGTTCTCCTCACTGTCTTGACGTGTGGTAGCATCTGTCCTCCCGCTAGTTCCTTTTCGGATCGGACGCAAGCACTGTGAGGCGGCCAACAGCAGGTTCCCGGTACCTACTTACGGCTGAGCCCCGAGGAGAGCTCTTCACCAGCCAAGAGCCGCACCTGCTCACCCACACTGATGAGGGTCCCAGGAAGGGCTGTGCTCACTGATTATTGATTGCTAGGTTGGTGACAGCCCAGAACGAGGTCTCTAGGGATATAATTCAAGGCTCAGACATCTAAGGTCCCTTTAGCTCCTCTGAATATACTATATATTCAATGTATTACACGTATGATCTTCAAAGTGTCTGATATTAGGACAGTCTAAGCTGAGGTCACACCTAACCCGCACATCTCAGGGGTCAAATACAGCAATGAGAAAACAGTCCAGTGAAGTTCAGGTGGCTTTCCTTCAGCAGTGACTCAAGGAATCTGACTGCCCTCACCTCGCCTCTCTGCCATCTGCAAGTTCTTTGCCAACAGCCATGAAGGAGGGAACAAGAGCGTGGGTGCCTCACACCTGTTCTTAATCGCTTTGCCCTGAGAGCCACCAGTCCCTTCCATTTGCATCCCCATTGGCAAGAACTCGGTCCCATGATCCCACCCTAAGCCAGGCGATGCTGAGGAATGTCGTCTTCCTGGGTGCCCAGTAAGAAGAAATGGTGTGGTGAAGAGAAAACACCCTAGGCCCAGTGTATGTAGAGAACAATTGTCTTGTGCTTTTATTTTTACTGTTATTTTAATTTAATTTTTATTTTTATTGTCATTGTATTTAATTGTACTGTGACCTATTGGGAGGCATACAAAGCTTTGTAAAATCAACTTGCTTTTGACCGTGTAAGACAAGTAACCCTGCTTGCGATGAAGCCAGGATCCTTCGTGGAAGAAAAATGTCCACTGCCAGGTCTCTGCTTACACAAGTGCTTATTTCTAAGTCTGACCCAAAGCAGGAGGCTTGGTCTCACAGAGGTAGAAACTAAAGACTCAAAACTGTTTCAGAGGCCAGCGTGCCCCACATGGGGGTGGTGCGATTTGCACATCTGCGCGTGTGTCCATCTCGATGGCTGAAGGGTGGGGGTGCACGCTGCCAAGGAGGTCACCAGCACCGCAAAGCAGCAAAACGTTTGCAGTAGATCACTGCCCTATAATAGTCGGAGGTTATATAAAGCAAAAAAAAAATAAAATAAACTCTAAAAAATTGTAATAGTTATTTTAAGTGTCTGAAGAAGTAAGTACCCAGTGATAAAAACCCACGCTTAATAAAAACTCACCCCTGTAGCAGAAGTGTTTGCTCCGTGGTGGGGTTCATCTGATCAAACCGTCCTGAGCCTGGCCCCAGAGCGCTGTGCCTTTCTGGGCCCCGACGCTGCCTGGAGGGGAAACGGAGGAAGGCAGATAATGAGAACTGAGTGGAAGTGGTAAACAGAGTTCGTGCGGGCCTTCAGTAAGGGCCCGAGTGTAAGACGCGAATATTCTTTTTAAATCACTCATTGTGAGCGACTGTGAGATTAGCACCCTGTGCCTGCACTCTCCCGTGAAGCATGCTGAAGGGTCGGCATGTTTGCGAGGTCAGGGGCTCACCATGGCCTCTCCATGTGCCATCGCCGGAAGGGAATGCCTAGTGGCAGATGCAGCAAGAGTTTTGTGTAAACCAAGCAAAGGTGATGTTTCAGTGAAATATTTTTTATAACAGAAAGAGCAGATGCTGCAGGTACTTACACAGGAGAGAAAACGAAGGGTGGAGGTATGACTCGGTTGCCCCAAAATGGGGAGATGTCATTCCTGAGCTCTGGATGCACATGTCAGTCCACTGGGGAAGTAACTCTGGTTCTCATGATTATGCATGTAGAGACTGAAAGAAGAGAGGGGATGCGAACTCCACAGTCCAAGCAGGTTTATTGCTGAACCTGAGAGGGCCCCCTCTGTCCTGGCCAGCAGAACAAAGGAAAAGGGGTCTCTAACAGGTCAAGAGGCTCTTTATGGTCAGGGCTTTGGTGGGCTCTTTGAGGGGAGCGGTCAGGGGAAAGGTGGGCTTGTGGCTTGCTGACGTGTCCTGTGGCGGATGCTTGTAGCCTGGGTAAGATGACACCTGGGTCTCTCTGAGATGGTGGGTAGGCTTATTCTAAAGGCGCGGTCCTCAGGTCCGGATTCTATCAGAGACCCATCCAGTTTCAGGAGAGGAACACAGCAGCAGACACAGGACCCTGCAGCACTCCCGGGGGGTGCCCCTGCCCCTTGGAGGGTCTTCAGGACAGCGGCACCCAAAGGAGACAGACACGCTGCTCCTGTAAAAGCACATGGTTCACTGGGAGAAAACCCTGAAGCCGAGAAGTGAGGGAGCGCTGCCGTCCTCTGGGAGTCTCAGGGGACCCTGTCCCCAGGCTGCTAGTTATTCAGAGGGAATGGGGGTAGGGAAACGTCTGTGTGCCTCTGTAACAAAGGACCTCTCTGGTTGAGGAAACGGCCTTGTTTTATTTGCCCTCTGCATTATGCTGAGGGCATTACGCTGACTGACAGACATGAGTGACATTGTCTGGGAATGTCATCAGGAGAATCACTGCTGTCCTGGGCCAAACAAGGGAGGAGGCCACTCAGAGGTCTTTTGCTGGTCTTGGTATATAATAGCTGAGTCACTCTGGGCCTGTTACTTCCTCTCTCCGGGCCTTGGGGGTCCTTGTTTTTGAAGCATTGAGATTGAACATCATTTTGCAGAACCTTCCCGTTTGGGACTTGGTAGTACATGAGCGAAGCTGGCAGCAAGCCCCAAGCCCTTGATCGTGATTGGAATATGGTTAAAAATTGACCTGGAAGTAATTTTTAAAAGCAGCTAGAAATGTTAACTATGATGTAGTAGACCTCTTGAAAAAACGTGACTGGCAACTTTATGGTCTCAGTTTTTTCTCGAATGCTGCTTGTTTTCCAAGATAGACCTCTTCCAGTAAAGAGCAGAACGCTGCGAGACTAATGCCCCTCTAGAAAGACCTGCAGACAACTCCAGTTGTTTGCATCACGAAGAGCCCTCTCTGCTTTCCTGCCCTAAAAGATAACTGCCCCTCAGTGCCTGGAGTGTTTAACCGAAGTCCCTACCACCTTCCAGGACTCACAGGCCCCGGGCGTTTTTCCTGCCTGGAAGGAGCCAGCAGATTGTTTCCCCAGCGACTGCAGAGGTGCCTCTTACAGGACGCAGCAGGAGGCTGCCGGAGGCTGCAGGTCCCGGGTCGGAGGCGTGGAGCTGTCCCCAGGCGGGGCGAGTTTCACCGACATCCTCGAGCTGACCAAAGGCAAACCCCAGGGTCACTAAAACTGGCGGCTTCCAGGCTATAGGTCCTCGAGTAAGGAATCTGATTTGATTTGAGAGACAACGGCTGCTGCCCAGGTGCTCCTGAATGGGTAAGTCCGATCCATTGAGCTTGCTTGAAAAGCAAGTTAAATGGAGTAAAAAAAAAAAAATCTCTTTAAGGAAGAGAACAACATAGACTGTGTTGGGGCCATAAGCGGAATTTCGCTCAGCGGGAGCAACTGTTTTCCTCAGAGAAAGGATTATGGAGCTCTGGAAGGAGGTTTCCAAGAAACAGAAAAATAGTCCCAATTCAGGTTGGGTAAATAATGAGGTGTCTGTCTGCTGGCAACACATCGCTGGGCCAGGAGAAGCTGACAGCGACCAGGCGGCGAAAAGCCCTGCAAGAGGCGGGTTCACTGAAGGAGCAAACAGAGCCGTTTAATTAATACCAAACGACTCAGCAACAAAAGGGCCATCGCAGTGGGAGGGCAGAGTGGAGATCTGTGGAGGTGGGAGGGGCCCAACGCACCCCCGTGGGTCAAGTCGGAATGAAGATGAAGCCCTTGCATTCAAGCTCTGATTGTGGGTATGAAGCCACAGTGAGTCACGCAAGGGAGCCCTAACTTCTGTTCCCCTGACTGATGCTGGGAATGTGAGAAGTCAGGGAACAATGCTTTAAATCATGCAAAAGTAGAAATATGAGCCCAGAGTCACCCAGACATCTTCTAATTCCACAGCCCTATAAATTATGGAGGGAGCCCCTTCCTGGACAGCAAGAGCCATTTAACAGGATCCTTCCAAGCTTGTTACTACTTCGAAGTAATAAAGATCCTTCTTTAGTCATGAGAAGACTTGGGTGTTGGTTCTAAATCACAACTCTGTGTTTTAAAACATCGCGGTGATTTATGAGCGCAGTAATCGGAGAGAGAGTGGTTCTGTGCTTCACTGCGTTCATTGCCTGGGACACTGAGCATTGGAGTTGCATATTTATTTTAAGAGACCATGCTGGGTTTTTTGCTCTTTAACTTATTTTTATGGTCAGTGTAGCCATGCTCTTTGGATAACAACCACTGGTCCCACAGCACCGAAGCGGCTGAATTAGCAGATCAGTGTCTCCTGTATCCCTGCCCCCCGGGATGGCACTCACTGTCCAAGAGAAGACGCTATTGCACCTCGGTGTGTATCATTCCAGAACTTCTCTTTGCATATACAAACTATATGAACATGTACCTCTACCCCCCACCCCCTACCCACTAAGATTCTGGATATGAAATTAAGGCTAACATTTGGCATTCCTTTCTCTTGAGCTATATTTGATAACTGAATGCTAGTTTGGGCCATGATCCCAACCAGAACATTCTTGTTCAGGAAAGATCACCTTGCTAAATGCCAAGTGCTGGAGTCAGAGGCACATCTTAACTTCTTTTCAACCCCATCATTGCTGAAGAGATCATGGTTAGAGGACAAGACCTTAACTTGGTCATGATCTTATAGCTGGATCAGTCACTGAAAGAAAATGTAAGTGGTAATTTAGGCGTCCCCGTAGACCTGGGACATAGGTTTCTGGCTTGCCCTCTGCAGGGAGTAAGCATGGGCCCAGGGTGGTTGTTTCAAACCAGCTCAAGCTTTTGATCTTTGAGGGAGACTTAAGATGAAATACAGTACTGTAATTTCATTTCAAACCAGAAGGACGAAAAAGACTGTGTGCAAAAGAGAAGTTTCAAGAACCAAGGACCACTCAGTCATCGACACCCATCCGAGACCCGCAGGAGCTTGGCTCCTCAGAGCGTGCTCACGGTTGCGTCTGCCCAGAACCACCGGGATGTCCATTGAACTTGCAGTCCTGGACTACCAACCCAGCATCTCTGGGGGAGTAGTGACAAGCATTTCAAAAAGCACCCCAATTGGACCTTAGTCACACAGAAGTGTGAGAACCATTGTCCAAGAGAACAGAAAAGAAGACAGAAGCCCTGCCTCTGTCCCCTGGGACTTATTTCAGGCCACCCCGTGGCAAAGACATGTAGGCCAAAGATGGGAAGGGGGCCCCAAAGGGTCTCAGAGCCTCCAGCCATGGTGTACACAGAGTCATCAGGTGAGAGGGCGAGCCCTCCCCGGCACAGGGCATGAGGACTTCTGACACCGGAATAGGTAGTTTTTTGATGTTGCAAATCAATCCCTGTCATTTAACAAGTGGGAGAACCGACTAAGAACTGAGACTGTACTAAGCATGGTGGAGCTTGGTCGATTTGTCTGGGGACAAAAGGCAAACGTAAATGAGACAATGTTGAGCTGTGGAAGCTACTGTATAATTAGGTGCTATATTGTACGGCATGGACAAGGAAAGGAACACTTAGGGTTAGAGAGTAAGGCAAACGACAGCAACTGGTAGGATTTGAATATATCCCCAGGAAAGGTCATAGAGCCAAGGAAAAGCAGAGCATATTCAGAGGTGTGGGTCTGGGTTTGTGGGAGCACAAGCTGAGAAAAGTGAACCTGTGTGGGTAGCGGAAGGCCTAGAAAAATCAGGAAGAAAGCTTAGGCTTCATGTTGTGGGAAATGGCCGTAGAATATTTTCAAGCAGATATTTAGGAAGAGTTAGTCCATCTGTGCTGTGGAGAACCGATCGATCATCTTCTGACTTAGGGGCACCCCTGTAGAAGGAACTCGTGCATGTATTCCAAATCTTTACAGGTTCCTATATATATATATAGGTTGCTATAGAAGTACAATCCTAATTTTCCTTGGTGATTAATCGAGCAAGGAGCTGACCTAGGGGAGGAAATCAAGAGTTTGGGTTTTGGACTTGATAAGATTAAATAGTTGCCTAAGTGGAGAAATCAAATGGAAAGTTGGATAGAAAAGTCTCGAGGAGACGGAGACACCGACAGGAGCCTTGCTGGGGTGGAGATAGTATGAGGGTGACAGTCAGGGCATTGGGGAACTTACTTAGATGGCTCTGCTCCTCCACCGATGAGTGACGGAGCAGAACCTGAAAGTATGTCTCTTTCCTCATTCAAATCCATTTCCACATACCGAGATCCAAATCTCACAATGTTTTTAAGCCCCAAACCCATGTCTCTAGCTCTCAGCCATATTTTGTCGCTTGGATGTCTCACCAAAATGTCTGACTCAAAGGTAATGAAAACCCAGTGGGTCAAGGTTTTGTGGGATGCATCTGGATTCATGCATAGAGGGAAATGTGTAACTACAAATGCTTCTGCTAGGAAAGAGGACTGGCCAAAGAATGAACAATCGAAGTGTTCGGCTCAAGAGGCTAGGAGACAAATAGTAAATCAAACCCAAAAAAAGTTGACGGGAGGAAATCATACAGATAACCTGTAGAAATTAGGGAAATGGAAAGTAAACATAAAATAGAGAAGATCAACAAAATTGGTTCTTTGAAGAGACTGATTGATACAACTCCTGGAAAGATGGAGCAAAGAAAAATAAAGGCAAAATAACCAATCTCGGGAATGGAAGTGGGACTGTATTAGTTTGTTAAGGCGGCCATAGCGAAGTGCCACAGACCAGGTGGCTTAAACAACCAGGACTTATTTTCCCAGTGATGGAGGCTAGAAA